TCGCTAGAAACAACTAGACAGACTCAACGGGAAACGGCCAAGCCGGAGACGCCGGAACCCTAGGTGTTTCCACGTGGTCGAGAAGATAATAGGTAACTTATAAAATATTCGACAATTCCAAAGCACTAAATTACAGCAGAACGCAATTAATTACAATATATTTGATATAATAGGGACTCTACGATAATAAAAGAAAAGCGAAATAAGATAACGGTATCCGGCACTATCGTCTTTTTACTTAGAGGGACTGGAACGACATTCACTCCCGGTAGCGAGAAAATTTGCCGTCGAGACAAAGTGCCTAGACGGGATTGCTTCAATTAAATTCACAAAATCTCTAAAATAAAGGTAACGAAAGGTGCTCACCAAATCGGTAAAATACGGAATCGAGGAAATCGGTCCTCTGACTTCTTTCCTTCCTTCCTTCAATATAATATAATTGATATAACTGGGAAATCTTAATCAGTCGAATCCGGCTCGTCTTTGATCACTCGGAAGTACTTTGTGAAATCAACCACTGGCTAAGATGCTCCAAACGTAAGTGAACGAGTCGGAATTCGTCGCTAGAGCAAAAGCCCTAGGGGCCCCCCTCCATAAATTATTAATTCCTAATTCGCATGGTAGAGCGATAACATCGGTAACCGGAGCCGCCTTGGGACCGTGATTCAAAAAATCACGTCACAACATATACGGTGTTCCGAAACTACCTGACCCGGTGGGTATTGCGGTGTTCGGGAGGCTTCACTGATCACGAAAACGACCTTCCTTTTGTCCAGAAGCTCTTAGTATTTAAATGGGACCAGGTCAAAGTTGACCAATCAGAACGAGGCGTCAAGAGAAACCTAGGCACCTACGAATTCTGAGTTTTCTTCCCTTGCTTTTGTTTCTCGGTAGCTTGTTTTTTGTTTCCAATAGGCATGTCTTCGGCTGACGTCATCCTGTCCGAAGCCACCGAGAACAAAAGCGAGGGAAAAAAACTCAGGGTTCGCAGGTGCCTACGATTCTCTTGACGCCTCCCTCTGATTGGTCAACTTTGACCTGCTCCCATTTAAAAACTATGACCTTCTGGACAAAAAGAAGGCCATTTTCGTGATCAGTGAAGCCTCCCGAACACCGCCATACCCACCGGGTCAGGTAGTTTCGGAACACCCTGTATGTGTGCAAAATGTAAAATGTATATTCAAATGTGTATGCCCGGTATGATTGCCTACCTGACAATTGAATATTGCATAGTCTTCCAATTTCAGAATAAATCTCGTACCACTTGTCCTTCTTAGCAACATTTTTAAAATCACGATGACTTTTATCGTAGAGAAATTTGATTTCTCTAACGATATTGATAATGACCTCGTCTATTGATTTTGCCATATTGAGAGGTAATGACATTTCACGTGTAAAAATATTGGCGGGGCAATTATTTTTTTCACATAAGCCGGTACGGTGCACGGAACGGGAGAGTCGGGGCATGCTTGATGCCCCGTTCCGTGATCCGTAAATTACGTGATGACCCTAGCAACCGTTTTCCGTATTGTTGCTATGTCCGAGACGTAGCCAAAACCGTAGAGATTCAGTAAAGGCCTTTACACACAAAATGACGTAACGACGTAAGACGGAAGCGTAAGGAAACCAACCAATCAGAATCTAGTACTGTTCCCTCCACTTTTCTCCGTACGACGTAAGCCGTAGTGGCGAAAAATATCGTAAGGATGAAATCGTTACGGCTTACTTCTTACGGACAACCAATCACAAACCTTCTCGCGTTCCCGCTTAAAAGAACATTGTTTATACGTGAGACAAGTGGCTTTGATGTGCTTTGATATTGAATAAAACCAGCAATGAGTGATCATAAGCAATATTAAGCATAAAACTCCTAACCTTGTTTAAATTATAGGTAAAGGGCCCAACGCGTTAGATTATGGGTGGGGAGGGCACCACCGAGCGTACGCGAGCCGATAGATCTGGCTGGCTGTCCGTGGTGGTGAATAGACGTCTTGGAAAATTCGCTTAATACCGGTGAGTTCTGAGGTTCAGCTAACGTGGAATTTTCCTGGCAATCTTGACGTCTGTTATCGTTCTCGAATCCTTCTGATTCGAGACTATTTTCGTAATCGGGAAATTTCCGTGGTTATCGTCTCTCTTCCTATTGTAACAAAGAATTGTATAATTTAGATTAGTATTATTGCGTTCGAATTAATAGAGTAGTTTTCTGGATCCTAGACTGTGGCCACTGAGCCTACGTATCTTTATTCCTTCTCAATATCGAGACGTACCTTAGTATATATTTTGCTATCGTCTTATTTTGATTATTTGAAAGAATTACGACTCTGTAAATATACCTGTTTCTTATTTATTTCATTCTCGCGAATATTAGGTTTATTCACCATTGTCTTATTACTGTTATATCTGTGCATTATTCTATTTAAATTCCGAAATACGGTGATACGCCATTGTATAGCGTTTTTTAGTAATAGTGCTATCGTAATACTCCAACCTTAGGGCTATCGGTCCGTGAAGGATGCGCTATTAGCTACGCCAATGTAGTACGGATGCTAGGGCTATCGTACGATTCGTACCCGACTAGTACTATTGTCTTTTTTCTTTGAAATCTATACGCGACCGATTCTCGGCATATCACTCCCGTTATTACTATTGTCCATATTGTAGTACAAACTTTGTTCTTTCGTACCCGAGTATTTCACGTAATTGGGGATCTAGCTATCGAGCGGTCCACCCGTCTGCACTTATTGTTTTAATTATGTCCTAATAAAACGGGCTTTGTTATAATTTGTTGAAATTCGGTTCTGTGACTTTGCGTGATTTTGCGAACTCCCAATCAAAGATTCCCGCCCCTCTATTCTTGCTGTTTCAGGGTGAACTGGCTGAGCTAGTGCGTTGTCGATCGAGTTGTCGTGAGAGCGGTTACCGGATATCTTGCTTCGTGAAATCGGTATTCCTAGAGAATACCTGGCGCCCAAGTCTTTTGTCGGTCATAGACTCGATTGTTGCTCTCGCGAGAATTCGTGTACTTGTGACGGTTTATTTTGTTTCTGCCGCGATTCAGGTTTTAACGCCAACAAAAACTACCGTTACAAAATGACATATATGACATTTTCCGTTTTATATTGCTTGCCCTACCTTCCTCATATTATGAGAGAGGAAAATGCAACGCAATAAAGAGTAAATATCATTTGCTTTTTTATTTTCAACAGATGCTCCCGTTGTCTATTATACTGATATCTGTTTATATGCGATAACAGGAATGACCTTGAGGATAGATTACTATTACTACTGTGCGATGCGTCGTATTGGAATTCATTCCGTCCTTCATAAATGGTAAGTGGAAAAAACCTCGTTGAAAGTGCATGAAAAATACATGGGCTCGTCATACTTAAGCTTCGAAGGATATTGTCTCATCATGATATTTTCAATATTATCTTGGCAGAGAGATTAATTGGAAATTAATATCTTTATACGTCATTGATATCATTTACTAAAAATGTGAGACGGCCTACGTCACCTATCTTATAATCTATAATCCTTCGCCTAACATTTTTGCTGCGAAAATTATACTAGCTTACATATATCATTTTTGACAATTTTATTGATTCCTAGTAAAGTATTATAAAACGATAAAGAAAAAAGCGAGTAAAATAAACTTCGTAGAAGTAAAAGTTGGAATTATTTCCTTTAAATTGAGGAACATACAAACTATGCATTTAACAGTTTATGATGTAAATTTCCGTTTCTGGTATCATTTGGAAATAAGGACAGTTTTAATAACTCTTCTGTGGCTACGTTAAATAATAATTTCGCACGACTGAGTGTGATATTTTTTATACCCCGCGTTTAAATTAAGAGTATACCTTCTGACGGAGTAAGCATAACAAAACCAAATAACCAAAGAATAATTAAACTTGTGAAACAGAAATATTAAAAGTATTGATCAGAATGAATAAAAATTTCTATGAAAAAAAGAAACAGGAAGATATTTAACGTGGAATATTTAGAAATACTCCATTTAGCCATGGGAGAGCTAAAAGGACTACGAAGAGAATAATAATAATAAGATAAAATGTATAGAAACTATATAATGAAAATTAACTGATGTACTTTATCATAATTTTTCATGATACTTTAAAAATCGCAGTTTTCTGATAAGATGGTTCTTGGAAGAAGAGTTAATAAGGATGTTATTGCCTTAGGTTGGTGCATTGAAATTAATTAGCCCCACATACATTACAACATAATATCAAAACTATACTGATTCGAAAAATATGGAGTGCGTTATCTACAAGTGTCAAGTTTCTGAGATTATTTATAACAACAAAATTTGAAATTGATATTAAAGAGTTTTTATGTATTTTATAAGTGTAGTATACTATCTATTCAAGTATAGCTTAAGGTGCACTTGAGTTATTGCATCGAGAAATTTCTGCGTGTGCTTTATATTATGACTAATTCAATTAAATTATTGCAATCAGTAATGGATTATTCCGAGCATTGCTCGCGTTATTTAAAAAGTATTCATTTATATGTATGGGGTTAAACCGTGGAATCTGAAGCCTACAATGGCGGATATCTTATTTTTTTTACAGTAGGATATAAAGATTGACCAGGGATTCATATATTCATCCTTTATTTTTATCGATGGCGTTTTCCTTCATATCTCTAGCAGAATATCATAAGTCGATAAGTTAATCAAATCAGAAACGCAATTTCTGATAGTGGGTACATGTCACGGGGAAATACCTGATCCGGATACGTGAGGATATTTGCGCCCGATTGTCAAAAGAATTTTTTTGTACAATCCCTATAATCTAGTTACATTAATAATGTGAGATTTATAAATTACTTGATTGATTAATTAAATAGAGAATACTGCCAATACCATCGGAGTACCTCTTGCCCCCTACTCGCCATTCGTTTCTAAGAAATTGTTCAGATTGTAAAGACCCCCTTCTTCGACGCGATGAAAGACACTTTGACGTTAGAGATATGATAATCAGTCTGTTATTTTGCGATAAGACCCATCTTTATAAAAGGATCCTACACCTCCCGATCAATCAGTTACCTTGTTTCTTCATCATTATACGTTTAGTGTTAGTGTTAGCGAGAACTTAGGACATTTATTATGAAAGGCAAGTACTGCAATTCTTGATTCATTGCATTGTACATTATGCAATTACTGTGATATAATTATAGTTATAACATTAGTTAGTGTATCTAGAAATCGACAGGTCTCATACTCCGCGCAACCAACGGAGAACATTAGGATGTACGATACAAGATTTCAAATCAAGATATAGGAAATTTGCAAAACATATTATAGGAATTCGAAAAATTGTCAAATTCTGTGTCATATATATATATATATACCCCCCCACTATTTTGACAGAAATGGCGCACTAACATCATCAGAATTTATAAGTTATGCATTTTCACAGAATCACGCGTTAGTATATCAGAATTTCAAGCGCTACGCATTTTCGTGACGATTTTCGTGACGCATAAGTTTTTCTGAAGTACGACCTAATAAATATCGTAATTTTAAAATTAATTTCCTATATCATAATTTTATCATTTTAATTCATTTCATTGGGAGATTTGTATTTTTGCGAAAAAATAATATAGCATAATTTTTGTATTACAGACGGTTTCGATATGTAATCAAATTTATATAAATATATCTTGCAAATATGATTTTTAAATTATTTGCTAAATTAATTAATACAAATAAGTGCTCTTTATATGTAGAGTAAGTTCCTCAGTATTTCGATATACGAGATACATTATTTCTTAGTAGCAAACTTGATGAGAATTAAGAAATTCTAATAGATAATCATTTACCATATATAAATTTATCATAGACGCGTTATTAAAAATAAATGTTGTACAAATTTGGCGACCACCGTGAGAAAAGTAAGGATTTAAAAGGTGGTAGATGAATTCTTTTGAAATATCATAAGTAAATGTACCAATATACGTTTATCGAAGAAAGATAAATTCGATTTTAAATTGGAGCATCAAGGTTCGACCGTCTATCACACTGACGAATAATTCATCAATTAATATATAATCTCAAAAAGGTTTAATAACGTCAACCTCACGTAGATAAGGATTAGGAATTTTTATATCCGATAAGCTGAATCATAATCATAACAACTTTTTAGAAATTCTAATACTTGCCATTATATTAAGAAAAAAGTATTCCTACGATTTTTTGTCATATAGCAAATTATTTTTTCCACAAAATTAGATTCAGTACCTTGTGTAATTCAGTTTATTTTATATTGATCTACCAATTTCAGGAAGTCGCGTGGTGGCTACGTTGCTAGTGGCAATATGGGCTGCTGTAGCAGTTCGTGCAGATGAAGAAATTCCAACGGAATGTCCAGCTGAAGATTCATTATATTACACAGTTCACCTTGCCCATGAATATGACTGTACATTGTTCTACACATGTGCTCATGGGAAGAAAGTTCTTACACAATGTCCTCTCATGGACACGAACGGAAACAGATTGCATTTCAATCCGCTCCTCCAAGTGTGTGACTGGCCACAATCCGCAGGATGCAATTCTGTAGGTTCTTCATCAACTGAATCTGATAGTAGTGTCACCGTAACAACTGCAGCTTCTACTATTTCCGGAGATAGTAGTGTCACAACTGGATCCACGGACGAAACGACAGAAGCCGTGACTGCTCCGACGACGTGCCCTACAGATGAGTCAGGAAATGCTGTACATCTTGCCCACGAATCTGACTGCACGCTATTCTATACATGTGATCACGGATCTAAAATTCTGCAATCTTGTCCATCTGGATTGCATTTCAACTCTATATCACAAGTTTGCGATTGGCCGGATAGTGCTGGATGCCAGAATAATAACGGGGACGAAAGTACTCCTGTAACTTCAGAGAACGAAGTAACGACTAATGCTGCTGAAGAATCCACCATCGCAGCTTCTGAAGAATCGACCACTGCAGCTGCCGAAGTACCTACCACCGCAGCTCCTGAAGAATCCACCACCGCAGCTGCCGAAGTACCTACCACCGCAGCTCCTGAAGAATCCACCACCGCAGCTGCCGAAGTACCTACCACCGCAGCTCCTGAAGAATCCACCACCGCAGCTGCCGAAGTACCTACCACCGCAGCTCCTGAAGAATCCACCACCGCAGCTGCCGAAGTACCTACCACCGCAGCTCCTGAAGAATCCACCACCGCAGCTGCCGAAGTACCTACCACCGCAGCTCCTGAAGAATCCACCACCGCAGCTGCCGAAGTACCTACCACCGCAGCTCCTGAAGAATCCACCACCGCAGCTGCCGAAGTACCTACCACCGCAGCTCCTGAAGAATCCACCACCGCAGCTGCCGAAGTACCTACCACCGCAGCTCCTGAAGAATCCACCACCGCAGCTGCCGAAGTACCTACCACCGCAGCTCCTGAAGAATCCACCACCGCAGCTGCCGAAGTACCTACCACCGCAGCTCCTGAAGAATCCACCACCGCAGCTGCCGAAGTACCTACCACCGCAGCTCCTGAAGAATCCACCACCGCAGCTGCCGAAGTACCTACCACCGCAGCTCCTGAAGAATCCACCACCGCAGCTGCCGAAGTACCTACCACCGCAGCTCCTGAAGAATCCACCACCGCAGCTGCCGAAGTACCTACCACCGCAGCTCCTGAAGAATCCACCACCGCAGCTGCCGAAGTACCTACCACCGCAGCTCCTGAAGAATCCACCACCGCAGCTGCCGAAGTACCTACCACCGCAGCTCCTGAAGAATCCACCACCGCAGCTGCCGAAGTACCCACAACCGCAGCTCCTGAAGAATCCACAACCGCAGCTTCTGAAGAATCTACCACTGCAGCTGCCGAAGTACCTACCACCGCAGCTCCTGAAGAATCCACCACCGCAGCTGCCGAAGTACCTACCACCGCAGCTCCTGAAGATTCCACCACCGTAGCTGTCGAAATACCCACAACAGCAACTCCTGAAGAATCTACCACCGCAGCCGCCGAAGTACCCACAACCGCGGACTTTAGTTCTGGTACTACCTCCCCGATAACAAATGCTACAGACTGTTCCACGGATACTAACTCTGTATATCGTATACCTCATGGTTCTGATTGTTCCAAGTATTATACTTGCTACTATGGAGAAATGATTCTTGAAGAATGTTCAGCTGGATTGTTGTTTGATCCTGTCACGCTCGTTTGTTCTTGGGCCGACGAAGTTGACTGTCAAATTGTATCAAGCACGGAATTAAGTACAACCAATGATGATTCTCAGGAAAGCACAACTACTCCAGGGTCTACCGTATCTTCAACCACAGCTTCATCGCAGATTCCTACAGAATGTCCCGAAGTTGATTCACCCGAAACTGTAGTTCTTTTACAACATGAATGCATATGCAACAAATACTACCTCTGCGAGAACGGAAGGCAAATTCTTCAGAAGTGTCCTTACGTACTACATTTCAATCCTGTGTTACAAACATGTGATTGGCCTGAAAATGTTGGATGTGAAGATGGTGTTACGATTGGAACAATTGGAACAGCGGCAACCACTGAAGATTCTACAACAGAAAATATTGACAGTTCCACAACTGCAGTCGCTGACGACTCTACTAGTGCAGTCACTGATGATTCCACAAGCGCAGTGACGGACGATTCCACAAGCGCAGTCACCGATGATTCCACAACTGCAGCCGTTGATGATTCCACAAGTGCAGTGACGGACGATTCCACAAGCGCAGTCACCGATGATTCCACAACTGCAGCCGTTGATGATTCCACAAGCGCAGTGACTGACGATTCCACAACTGCAGTCGCAGATGATTCCACCAGCACAGTCACTGATGATTCCACAAGCGCAGTCACCGATGATTCCACAACTGCAGCCGTTGATGATTCCACAAGCGCAGTGACTGACGATTCCACAACTGCAGTCGCAGATGATTCCACCAGCACAGTCACTGATGATTCCACAAGCGCAGTCACCGATGATTCCACAACTGCAGCCGTTGATGATTCCACAAGCGCAGTGACTGACGATTCCACAACTGCAGTCGCAGATGATTCCACCAGCACAGTCACTGATGATTCCACAAGCGCAGTCACCGATGATTCCACAACTGCAGCCGTTGATGATTCCACAAGCGCAGTGACTGACGATTCCACAACTGCAGTCGCAGATGATTCCACCAGCACAGTCACTGATGATTCCACAAGCGCAGTCACCGATGATTCCACAACTGCAGTCACCGATGATTCCACAACTGAAGTCGCTGATGATTCCACAAGCGCAGTCACTGACGATTCCACAACTGCAGTCACCGATGATTCCACAACTGAAGTCGCTGATGATTCGACAAGCGTGGTCACTGACGATTCTACAACTGCAGTCACCGATGATTCCACAACTGCAGCCGCAGAAGCCACTACGGATGGAATTACGACCCAAGATGATTCAAGTTCAAGCGATTCTACTCAAAATGATGAATCTAGTTCAACTACTGATACCAGTGAAATCATTACCGATGACTTCGACTCACCAGTTGAAAATTCCAATGCCACAACTACTCCCAGCCCTTCCTCCTGCGTGGGCACTTGTCCTGCAAAAGACCCTGTGACATACACCGTACTTCTACCAAACACCGACTGTTCCAAATTCTGTAAATGCAGTAATGGCGTAGCCTATGAATATGATTGCCCAGCCAATCTTCACTTTAGTGTAGCTCTAGCTACCTGCACTTATCCTAAAGACGCAAACTGCGAACGATCCGCCAGTCTCGCAGTTGAAACTGACTCTCGCAGAAAAGAGAGAAGTGTAGATCGGCGCTTGAACCCTAAATTTGCAGGATTCAATAGAGGTATGGGATATTAGAAGAAAATGTGGGCACAGAGACGAATTAGTTTCAGGGAGCCTGTAATCATGTATTGTATAAAACGATACTAAAATTGTGTAATAAAAGAATTATCCGTTGTGAAGCATAAGTACTTTCGATTTAGTATTTATTTGTACTGTGTAGCTGTGACTAATTTAATATAATAATTATTTATGTTTGTAATTGATTTCTCTATAAAATAAATCATTATCATGTATTTGCAATTAATACCTGTCTGGCGGCTGGACCAAATATATGCTCACCCTATTTGTAGAGTAATCGTCACAGTTAGATATCTTAATTACCTGCACTATACTTAAAAAAGATGAAAGGTTCACTAACTAAATTATAAAGCAATATACATTGGAAATTCTCCTGACATATCATAACACAATGTAATGTAATTAAAGATATGATAATAAGTATTACAAAAATAATATCAATAAAAACAGTATTAAATAATAAATAAATCAATTAAGCGAATGCTCATTTTTTTATTTTTCACATCTCTCTTGGTTAGCGTATACACAATATGTATGGTGATTATTTTTGAATGACTATGCTGTTCCTTTATTTTCACTGTCACGGTTTCCCCTCCATCTCACTCTCTCTCTTTCTCTCTCTCTCTCTCTCTGTCTTGCGTCTCTACAACTGATCACGATGATAATTGTATTAATCATGGATATAATAACCAGGGTCAATATGAAGATAAGAGTCGGGCTTTCAGGTTGCGTAGAAGTCAATTTGCTCGTGTATCAGCTTTTTTAAACCGAAGTGAATGTACATGATCTATTCAGGTGATAACTATGCATCTCTCCGGTACATACAAGAGTGAAGGTGCGCGGGTGTATTTTTTATTGCATCTCATCGTAATATTTGGCCATCATATCGTAGAGATACGAAGGTTGCGACACTAAATCTTGAATTTGTCTCATTTCGCCACCCTGGCTAACTTGATTGTGCAGGTTCTCTTGTCTCTCGCGTTCTTTTTTCTCCTCTTTGTCCTGTTTCTCTTGCTTATTGCGTTGAGCCTGTTGATTCAGTGTTACAATTGTGCGCAAAGCGTCCCAAGGATAATCGATGATTCGAGGTGACGTCACAATCTGGGATCTCTTTCCATACCTTAGAAAGGGATAATATTTCAATTGTATTAGATATAACATACTTTTAGGGATGCCATAGTAGCAATAAAAGTTTCTATATAAGCACCTGGCTTTCCCATTCAAGGAATAATAGTCCCTGACCAGGTCTAAGTATCTTCTCAATTCCTCAGGACTGGTAAAGACTTTGGGCCTTGTGGGCCTTGCCATTGGATCTGGTTCACCCCGAGCAAAAATTGGTGTCAATGTCGCTAGTACTAGGATGATCCATGTAGCGAGACCAAGACTCACCGTCACGTGCATTCTCGGTATCACCATATCAGTTATCTAAGGCAAAATAAATACCAGTTGTAAAAAACACGTCAAAAAGACTATTTTATAAAATAATGTTTATCTACACTCTGTCTTCTCATTCTTTAATCGATTTAAATTTGCTTACTCCTATGAATTGACCATACGGGTTATAAGTATTTCTTAAACAAACTGATTGTTCATCCTCTGATTTATTCATTCATAGGAATAATATGGCAATTTGTTTATATATATTTAAGAAATTCTAAAGTAGAACGCTATATATTTATTTTTAATATATGTATATATTATAACGGGGTGCGCGGCTCGGCTCGTCCCCGCTATAATTAATTTTTATCCATAGAGCCGCCAGGGAGCACTAAAGGGCTAGGAATTTCCGAAAAATTAGGAGTTCTGATCGGGATTCGAACCCAATACCTTCGGACTGCCAAGTCGAGCACTTACCACTGTGCTATTGAACCCACTGTCCGACCTGATAAGTCCTATTTATTTATTTTTCGGTCATTCCTAGGTGGTATCCCCTCCACCTCTGTAACGCCACGTTACAATATATACAATATATATTATTATGGATTATATTATTACATAAATATATCATTAATACAAGATAATGTTCCGTAGGAGTAAATCTTAACTTCTCTCTACTTCTAATTCGGAATCTGAATCTAGAATTATACGAAATGATGAGAAACTAAAATTCTTTCCCTAAATTCCTTTAAAATCGTCTATGTTCAATCTCACTCCTACCGGATTTTGTTACTGACGTAGATTACCACTGTGACATTTCATATGGAAAAAATTAAACCACAGTACAAAAACCTGAAAATTGTATTTTCATACTAGACACATCGTAAAATCAAGTAAACGAAATGTCATTACTAAATACATGTAATAACAGAAATTAAAATTATATAATTTTAGAACGTCACACGTTTCTTCCATCAACGCGTAGGTCACACATATTCTGTCAGACACGGGCTTATAAATTACAATGTAACTCTGTAACAGACAGAGTTAATTTTAACTTAATTATAGCAAAATGCAAATTCCAGAGTAAGTGACATGTCTAAAACAAAACAAAGTTACAAAAATCATTTGGTTAAAAATTTCATGCTTCAGAGGAAAAGGTGTCACTGATTGTGAGAAGAACTGAGAACACAAGGAATCGTGTGTATCTCTTAGGCACGTATATGACGGTTCAGGATTAAACTTCAAATACGATTCAGAGTTACACTCCGGTAGGAATAGGATTCAAACATCGAGTTATATACATATATATGCCAGTTTGGTACGTCGAAGCGTTCAAGTAACCAACTTACATATAAAGGTTGCGTTGGTAACCGAAATCAAATATGAATTTAAATTAAATATCCTATTGGACAAGATGGCCGAACAAATTGGCAGTAGTCCTTCCACTTTCGAACCTATCCCAAAACCTTTAGAAGGTCCAGCATGGCCTCAGAAGGCATCTGGAGAGTTCATTCAAGTTCATCGTTACATTACATAAGCGATTCAGAAAAAAAGGTAGGTAATTGGTAAAATTAAATAAAGAATTACTTAGATCACTAATCTTAGAAAGGATTTCGCTATATCACTGTAATGAACTACAATATCCTAGTTCAACAATATTTAAGCAGTACTCCAGAGGAAAAATTCGAAAAACTTTCAGTGGGTATCCATTCCCATTCCTCAGTTTTATTAATTCGTTGAAATATCAGAAAATCTTCCACTTATCCGATGCAAGTTGTTGCGGTTGTAGTGATAATCTTACAGATTATCTTACCAATCTAACGGAGAGTAATTATAATGAAACTAAGCTGAATGTACATAGATCCAGCGTCATTTTATTGAATAAAGACAAGTGATAGTGTTATTGGCCACGTGAGTACGTACACAGATTCAATATCTGAACATGTATTGATAAGCATGTCAGCGCCACCAATTTTTGTATAAAGTTTTTTGCTGCACTTTTGGTTTGCCAGTACACTGAATTACATACTTAGATATCTGATCCGTATACATACGTACGTAACGAATACACCGACCCGGTATATGAACCTTATAATCACAATCATTCGAGATTCGACAGATGCTAAACGGAAAAGCTTAAAGGAGGTTAGAGCACCATGAAACTTTCAAAAAATTTACATTTTTTCTATTATTCTCAAAATATGAACTTTTATTATTTTTTTAAACCAATTAAATATAAATATTTCAAGACGGATTGACGGATCCATAGCGCCAGGAGTGAAGTAATGCACAGCGTTTGTGCGCACAGCGCAAGTGAAACCTGATTCCTTTTTTGCTCTATCTTATTGACACTGTTATGATTGCTCCTTTGTTCATATTTCCGAACTATTTTCTTACCATGAACAATTGACTTACTGAATGATACTTAGGGGTTTTTTATTCATTATCACAATGAGAGCTTCAACTTTTTTATATGGAAAATGGCACGGAAGACACCTTTCGATGGAGTTAAAATCACTGAAATTACAGCCCATATTGCTGAAAGCCAATTTAACGAAGGTTGGTAAAGTATTTTAGAAATGATGCAGCTTATGAACTTAACCGTTGGGTATAATGTCTTTATAAAAAGGGAGGAGGATATGGCGCAGTGCTTAGCGATCGCTGATGTTCGAGTGCAGCTACGAAAGAAGTAAAAAACGAGCGTTCATAAACTTGCAAAAGAAGAAAAGTGTAATTTACAATTCTGAAATATTTTTAAGTGATCATTTTTTAAAAGTTTATATTACTTAATCGTCTATCAGGAATATAGCATTTTTAAACAATAGTTTCTATTAAAAAAAAAAAGACCATACCTCGACCTTTTTCTCTCAGTCTTAGGGTGGTCTAAACTTCTGAAGTGAGGATTCTCGTTTGAAAAAATGTTTTTATTACATCATCTTAAAATACAAGCTCTTGAAAATATGTATTTAAATTTTCAAATCGAAATTTTAAAGTATAAGGAAATTACAAGCAGTTTACGGTTTTACGCCGTAAGTTGAAATCAGCCCATGCGTACCAACTGTCGCCGCTTACGTTATCTTAGGTAACAGACGTCGAGTAACGGTTGGGATTTCTGTTATCTATGAGTATATTATGTCCAATACTACGTACACATAAATAGACGTTCAACAAAAGTTTGATGTATGTATAAGGGCCCCTTTATATTAGCGTGAGTAAGGAAAATGTTCAATTACGTATGTCAAGAGTTTAATACTTTGTCCAGTCCTAAATTAAAATGTAAAATTGATCGAAAGCATTCCACAGAAAGCGTGGAATGTCTAGGTAGAAAAAAAACGAAAGTTTCAGTGTGCAGACATACTTACAAGAATTTAACAAAATTCTCGAGTATATCTATTACAAAATAACATCCGGCATGTTTCACACATGGCTATATAATTATAGACATTTTCAGTGTTTTGAAGAAGAAAAAGGAATCCTGTATGGGCTAAGAATAGCAGATTAGTCTTTGACAGCTTTAAGTATGCCTAATTATTACGTAGAGTTAATGACAAACATTAAACACGTTTTTTTACCGAAGAAGCATTTTTGAACCATATTGGCCCGATACCTCAAAAATTAATAATCCGATCGACTCCAATTTTAGCAATTTGGACCAGGATGTTTGACATATCTCAAGTAGTTTTATTAGTTACAAAAATACGTAACAAATTTTGTAACAAACAGATGCAAAATCCGATAGTTTTTCCCCCATTTTTTCGTTTTTCAACGAATTTCTTAAGCCCGTATTCACAACTCGCTCTTAAAGTCACTAACGGAGTCGCTTGTAGTTAAAAGTCACTAAGAAAAAATTTGAAAGCGTGCTATTAGTACTAAAAGCGAGTTCTGAATACGGGCTTTAGATTCCAGTTCCCGTAATAGTGTCATTGCTAAGCAATAAAAGCATCCGGTTTTTTTTCTTTGTTTCAGAGCGCTACAAGTGAAGTTATGACGCCAACGCACCAACAATATCACTGGCCGACAAGAGATACCGAGCGACTGATAATTCAAAAAGTAGGGGATAAAGGTGCTGGAAAAGATTCATGTAAAATCTTAGAAGTTTAATACAAACTCCTGTAATATTCGATAGTGTTTAGGTATATTCTTTTCCTATAAAACATTTAAAAAATAATATATTTTACTGCTTCAAACGAGCCTCCCCCCCCCCCCAAATAACGTTAAGATACTTGAAATAATCGAACTTCTAATTTGCCACCAGGTTTGCATCCTGTGACCGATGAAACAATCAGGAATGCGTAAGACAACGCGTAAAATTACGAGAAAACGTAGGCTTGGTGTATCTCCAAAATTGAAAATTAGCCAAATTAAACTTGACTGAAACTGTCTGTCCTGTCTGTCTTAGACTATACCGTGAGTGAGACTATAGGGTCTCGAAAATCATAACGACATTTCGCTTCCCGTTTTTCAATTGTATTATCACTATCAATCAATTGCATTTTTGTCCTCGCCAGATTAGCTGATTTTCCTTCTGTCGTGGCGCATTCTCTTCACATCAGATCACATTGCCTCTTATAAAATAGATGTTTTATTGTTAGAGGTCGCAAACCAATCCATTGGAGGCAGGCTTATAATACATTTCGTATCCCATGTTATGCTGCTACTACGGCCACCACAACCTCCTAGGGTAACTCCAGGTTGCTGAACGCTTGACGATTTCCTGATGTAGTTAGATCTGGGTGTTGCGTACTCTCAAAGCATGCAGACCACTTGATAAATTTGTGATATCCAAAAATTACGAAAATATTGTTCGAAAAAGTATATAGTAGTTGACTATCGAGAATTCTTCGACAGAGAAGCTAGAATGTTATCAATAGAGTATAGGTATATTTTGTAAAACTCAGAAATTGTATTATTTTAGTAGGTTTATGGATTCATTGATAGCAAAATTTCCCAAACAAATAATCAAAACATTTCGGAAAATGTTTGTAATAAAAATTCAAAAAAGCACTCATGTTTCTTGTTTACTTTTGCGTCAAACATTGATAAGTAAATAAAACTGAATCTGATACCAAAAAGTGTCCAATTAAAACCTAAAAAAATCAGTGATAACGAATGCGCTATGGTACTACAGTCCCATGTTCCTTACAGCGCCCCAATAGTCACTTAGATAGTAATCTTCAGTCCAGTAGAATTAAAATTGGTAAAAATCCTTAAGGACACGCGTAAATAAATACCGAATATTGCCATAACGAAGATCAACAAAAATTCTTTTTTAAAAAAAAAGTACAGCGTCATACGAAAACTTTGTGCAACCCATCCGGCCCCCGATATAGCGTAAAGTTACCTGATCTTGTGACACGACCGAAATGCTATGTTATAGTATATAATACCACATCTCCTTTCAATCTTCATCAAACTATATTCCTTTCAAGACCATCTCTTCTATGCGCGTAGGAAGTAACTGAATAGTCCCATAGTAAAATAGGTAGTGGCCTAAAATAGGTCGTCGTTCTGGACACTGATATCGCATGAAGCTAGGTTCCCTACGACATTAGGATCCTGAAGTCGGTGGGTTACCTGTTGCGCCGACCTTTTTGAGCAACGAGTAACTCCTACAATAGTGAATAACCCTGAGTTTCCTTTAAGTATACAGGGGTCCGTAGATAGTTTATACAAGGGTTATTCAAATACAAGAAGAAACGATGCCTTCCAGACTTGATGTATCGTTTCCATTATATCCATCGATAGTCAACTTTTTCTAACTGTACAAATTAATAATTCTCTTAGATTTATTGTTTTATCCATACAACAAAAATTGTATGTCGACCAATTTTCACAATGACTTTTTAATAAAAAGGGTTATAAATTTTGTAATCGAACTAACATATTCCAACATGCAATTTATCGGGTTTCTGCGTAAGTTTCATCATATTCGCTAGCTTTGGTCGACTGTCTATCGCGTTAGGATGAGGAGAGAGTTAAGTTAAAATGGACTAATCTTATACGACATGGTTAATTTTAATTGGAGGTACAGGAAGTTATACACGTAGTCCGCGTAGAGAAGCTCTAGAATTACGTCGGGACCAGTGATCATGGGAATTATATGTATATTGAGATGTAATGCGACCAATCAGAACGCGTTTAAACGGAGCGTAGATGACGTCGCGTGTCAGCCCGTAAGGTCTGCAATAACACTAAGAGTATCATCGTAGTGTCTCTGTTTATCTGCATGTAATTGAGTAAGATACAATCGCTTGCTGTAACGTCAGTGAACTTCAGAAGGTACCCTTTATTTCTTATAATGTCTATTACTTTAATCTGATAAGATAGTTGTACCAACATATAACATTTCGAGTGGTCCTGAAAAGGACCGATTTAATATACGCATGACCCAGCTTGAATATCGACATGCTAATCTGCAACAATTACATACATTTTCTATGATAACAGTAGTAAGTCTACTGCGGTTGAATAACTTGTTTACAACTTACAACCTATTTCGCTTCACATTTGGGAGACAGTCAGTTCGATTTATGTTGTTTCGACTGCAAGATCGCATTATGAGTAATTATTGTGTGAGATAATATTGCGACATGTATTGCGTGTTAGCCCAATGTAATGGCAGCCAAACACAAGCAGCGCAAGAATATGTAATTAGGTATCCTAATGGGCGACATCCTGATAAAAATGTTACGTACTCTACAATATTTAGTGTTTCAGAATAACCATTATCATAGAAAATGTATCTAATTGTTGCAGATTAGCATTTCGAGATCCAAGCCCGGTCATGCGTATATCAAAATCGGTCCTTTTCAGGACAACTGAAAATATAATACGTTGGTAGAACTATCTTGTCAAATTAAAGGAATAGACATTATAAGGAATACAGGGTACTTTCCAAAATTCAGTAACGTTACAGCGAGCGATTGTATCTCACTCAATTAATGCAGATAAACAGGGACCTATTGTGTTATTGGTCTAGTGTAAGCAGACCTTACGGGCTGACTCGCGACGTCATCTACGCTCCGTTTAAACGCGTTCTGATTGGTCGCATTACAGCAACTTCAACCTTGATTATCTCGAAATTTTTATATATGAAATAAAAAATGAAAATACACGTATTCCTTAGAATTTGATAAGGAATGCAACAGTGTTACTACAGTGCGTTTCATAACGAACACCCTGTATATATACAAAGTATAGTTTATAGTACAAAGTATAGTACAAAGTATAGTTTGAGGACCCAGGCGATTAAGGGGCATCCACAATAGCGAGCTGATGTTTTTTTTAGCTAATACCCTCAGGTATCACAGCATTGAAATTCTAACCTAACCTAACCTAACGGAACACTTTCTAAGCCCATCACAACTCCGGATGTCTAGCATTCAAAAAAAGTAAACAAATTTAATGTGACAGTCGCTTTATGGGCCTCAAACTACTGGCTGTATTACTGAAATTGTCCCCAAAGTATGCTTTATTACTGTATATGTATACATATATATACAAATATGTTAAGGGCAGCTTCGAGAACATGCGGCATTCACAACGGCAAGCTGATGTATTTTTTCTGTAAATTAAAACTTGGGACATGTGGCATTGAAATTCTAACCTAATCTAATCTAACGAACTATTTCTTAGCCTAAATATACATGACACAGAATTTTTCTAGGACCACCCTGGAAAATGCCATTTGTCCTCATAACTGTTAATACCCAAGAAAAAAGTTCTGCAAACTGCCTTCTAAAATATTTATATACATTTATACATACATATACAATATACGTTTGGCTAAGGGATACTTTGGAGACACTAAAAATCAAGGGGCGATCACAACAGCAAACTAATGTTTAAAAAAAAACGACTAACTTGGGATGTGACAGCATTGGAATTCTTACCTAACCTAACCTAACCTAACTTAACCTAACGTAACAAATACTGGATGTCTAACATTGAAAAAATATAAACAAATTTGGTGTGAGAGTCCGCTTTATGGTTCTCAAAACAGTCATTACGCTGGAAAATCTTTGAGGTCGGTCCCCAAAACAGCCACTTGTCCTCAAATAAGCGGCTTCGTAAATGAAATCGTCTCCAAAGTATTCCTTAGCAAAAAATATACATATATATATATATTATAACGGGATGCCCGGCTCGTCCCCGCTATAATTAATTTATCCACAGAGCCGCCAGGGAGCGCTAGAGGGCTAGGAATTTCCGAAAAATTAGGAGTTCTGATCGGGATTCGAACCCGATACCTTCGGACTGCCAAGTCGGGCACTTACCACTGTGCTATCGAACCCACTGTCCGACCCGATAAGTGATATTTATTCATTTTTCGGTCATTCCTAGGTGGACCCCTCCCCCCAGCTGTGTAACGCTACGTTACAATATATTAGGTTGGGGAAAAAGAAATCCATTATTTTTACGTTTATTTCAAGACTTCATTTGACATGGTTCGGATTATCCGATTTGGGTCAAATATGTACCGTTTTGTTTTAAAATTTGTTGCCATTTTAAAGGTAACTTCATAACGCCTCTCTCATAGAAGCCCTGGTCCCCAGTGGCGAAAAGCTCGATGAAGCTGTTTTCACAATCTCCTCTTGATGCCAGTTTCTTATCACTAAGGAAGTTTTTCAATGATAAAAAAAGATGGTAATCGCTTAGTGCCAGGTCCGAACTATAAGGTGGATGCATCAAAACTTCCAAACCATGCTCCCGGAGTTTCTGGCGAGTCACTATAGACGTGTGTGGCCTGGCGTTGTCCTGACGGAACACAACACCTTTCCTGTTGGCCAATTGCGGCCGTTTTTGGTCAATCGCTAGCTTTAAACGGTCCAATTGGTGACAGTAGAGGTCCGAATTTAGTGTTTGACCATATGGAAGCAGCTCATAGTAGATGATTCCTTTCCAGTCCCACCAAATGCACAGCAAAACCTTCCTGACGGTTATTCCTGGTTTGGCCACCGTTTGAGTTGCTTCACCGCGCTTTGACCACGACCGTTTTCGCACAATATTGTCGTATGTGACCCATTTTTCATCACCAGTCACCATCCGTTTAAGAAATGGGTCGATTTCGTTCCGTTTCACCAAGGCTTCGCAGATGGAAATTCGATCCATCAAGTTTTTTTGCGTCAATTCGTGTGGTACCCAAACATCGAGCTTCTTCTTGAATCCAGCTTTATGAAGATGGTTTAAAACTGTTTTGTGGTCGATCTTTAGCTCCTGGGCGATGCTACGACTGCTAACATGCCGGTCTATTTCGATCATTTCCATGATTTTATCGACATTTTCGACGACTGGCCTACCTGTGCGAGGTGCATCTTTAACATCGAAAATACCGGAACGGAATCGATGAAACCAAAATTGCGCGTAATTGGCTGTGAATTTTCGACGACTGGCCTTGGTCGATCTTTAGCTCCTGGGCGATGCTACGACTGCTAACATGCCGGTCTATTTCGATCATTTCCATGATTTTATCGACATTTTCGACGACTGGCCTACCTGTGCGAGGTGCATCTTTAACATCGAAAATACCGGAACGGAATCGATGAAACCAAAATTGCGCGTAATTGGCTGTGACAGTATCGGGACCATAAACACTATTCACGATTTCAGCCGCCTAGCTTGCATTTTCGCGTTTATCAAAGCAAAATTGTAAAATATACCGAATTTTCTCTTTGTTAGCTTCCATCTTTTACACCCTATAACTCATAAGTGAATCAACCAATCAAAAAACTATAGAAGAATTTTTTTTTAGAATGGAATGTCACTTTTACAATGAGCACAAGTCTGAACTTGTCTGGATAATACTTTACGAGAGATATATCATTATAGCCATCTAGCGAAAAAATAATGGATTCCTTTTTCCCCAACCTAATATATTGTAAGATACCATCAGATTGTTGGAGATACCATCTAGGAATGATCGAAAAATAAATACATAGGACTCATCAAATCGGACAGTGGGTTCGGCACAGTGGTAAGTGGTTCAACTTGGCAGTTCGAAGGTATCGGGTTCAATTCCCCATAAGAATTCTTAATTTCTCGGAAACTCCTAGCCCTCTAGCGCTCAGTGGAGGCCCTGTTGATAATTCAATTATAGCGGGGGGAGCCCGGCACCCCATTATAATTGTATATACATATACATATATAAATTTGAAAATATCCATCAAGTCCGTGTACATATAAGCTTATCAAAATCGCATGGGAAAGTGGGTGGGGGGGAGGGGGGGAGGGGGTGAGAGAGAGACTGAAAGATGGAGGGGTATGTATTTACATATTCTGAATTTGAGATTCTTTAGTAAGAATCTAGAAATAGTACTTATAGCAAACTCTGATTGGTTCGTCATTTTTATTGCTTTCGACTCTTCTCGGGCTGTCTCGAGTATTTTCGTATGTTTCCGTCTGAAAGTTTTTAAACCTATGCTTAACGGTCAATAACAGAAATGTAAATTCCTTGACTGGCTCAGAACGATCTCTTAAGAAGGGCTTGCGTTTTGGAGTGCTAAAAATGAACAAATTTTGTGATTTTTGTTTTGTGGAAATGGTTTCATGTAATATTTTGAAACTTTAAACACGTATTTGTTAACATTGACAACGAGGAATAAATGCACCATTATATGGTATCTGAGCGTGGTTATTGTCTCTCAATAAGCAACAATGGTTGAGAAATATCAAAATTGTGGCATTTTTTAAAATTAGGTCCGATTTCAAGGTATAATACTCGTGATATTTTTTTGAATTGTAAAAAAATATTAAATGTAACGCATGAGTGAGTTAGTGATGATAACTAGATTCATGTATGTAGAACATAAAGGCCCGAGTAACAATTATTAAGTATACGGTTGATCTGCGATTGATCACTCAAAAATATAGCTAGAAGTACAGCTAATGGTACTTTCGTATACTATGAGCATAGTTATCTGGAATAGAAAAAGTATAATTTGCATGGCTTAGTATAGAAAAAATATAGTATTCAAAGATAGAAAGTCCACGAGTTACTTCGTTATAGTAACTATGACAGAGTTTTCCGGGACTCCGAAAACTATGACGAAGCGAAAACCATGACTCCCCACAAGTGTAGTTTTTACGTCACCAACTGGTAAAGAAACGTTTGAACTATTCTACGGGATCACCTGTGTATATCGAATCAAGAAAGAAAATTACATGAACAATTTTTTTCTGTAATCTTCAAATGTCAACAAATACATCTCTGAAATTTCAAAACTTTTGGTAAAGGCGTACCCTCAAAGGCGATCTGAATTCCTGCATGTTTCAGTAGTTCGAACCACAAGCCCTCCTTATCGCCGCGAGAGCGAAGTGTTGGGTTACATGAGTAGCCAATTTTCTTTCTCTATTAATTGATTTAAGCTCTATAACAGACAACCAATGAAAGAGAAAAGGGAAAAGAACAAGCTGTCACATAGACGAAACATGTATTTAATAACATGGATATAAATAATTCTTAGTACTTAGAATATGAATGTAAATGGTATTAAGTATGGCTTTGCCTTTAAGGGGACTCGGGACCTCTTATTTTTCACTCGAGTAAAATTCCAATGAAAATCAGAGATTCTTCCCCAAAGCGGAGTTCAGCGCACATATTGCAAAGATTACAATCATTTTAAAACTAAAAGAATAATCCGATTCGCAAATTTCGATGTGAATTTAAAAAATGCGAAGAGCTTCGGATCGTATTAATCTTTCACCTGTGATCTGATTATTGCGAAAATTATGTCAAAATGATTGTTAACTTTGAAAAATATGCGATAAACTACGCTTCGGGGAAGAATCTATGTCAAAATCCTGTTATTTAAGATTATTGCTGGAATTTTACTCGCATGATAAGAAAAGATCCGGGGTCCCCTTAAGTAGTGCAGATATAAGGATTGTTTGTTCTTGCGATTTTAGGTACTTTGCAGGACTACAGCTGTGTTTGAAAATGAGTCGACAGCGCTGAGAACGTTCTTGTGTCTTGACTGAATGCTTTCAATGAGCAAAGATGCTTATTGAAATGCTTATTGCTTAATGTTCAATGCTCTTAATTCTCTCAGCGCTGTTGGCTCATTTTCGATGACATCTATAACGTTGCAAAGCCCTTAAAATCGCGAGATTGAACACGCCTACAGCATTGGCTTTAATACAAATAGTTAGGCTTGGTTTATTGAGTCTTAATTTAAATAAAACCCATTCATGCGTAATTTCAGAATAACCAGCCTGAATAAAAAAAACGAAGTGTTCAACTTGAGAGCGAAAAGGTTAGGGTTCAAGTCCATCCTAGGCGACTTTTTTTCTACTTTGTATGATTCATTCTGTAAGTTACATCATGAAAATCCTATCTTTTTTTTCACGAAGAATTATACATTTCAACGAAGGGCATTCAACATCTCGTGGGCATAAGATTTTTGTTCGTCCCCGGAGTTATGAAATAGCACGTATTTTGAAAAGTTAATGTCTTAAGAAACTTTCATTGTAAAATGTTTGGTTAAAACTCTAGGCCTTTTTTTCAAATCCGTACTAGGGCAACAATCGCGCTCTCGCGTGGGACTGAAGGTCTGTTTGGCGTAGCACTTCAAAAGCAATTATATCATCATATTGCACAATTGTACTATAAAATTGCATGCTTACGATCTATTTATCAAACCATTTATCGACAATGAACATGAAACGTATAAATAACATGGATAACAAAGGAAGGAAAAAGTAACCTCAAATAAATTCACAACTTCAATGATCCGAAGCCGAATAGGTTTATTGGTTTTCTAAGGTTTTACCAATGAATGTGGTTTAATAAGCAAGAAATATAGTATTATTATCTAAGCTATATAAAAATGCAGTGAAAAAGAAAAAAATAATTGCCTAAGGCGGACTCCATCCTGAGTACTCTGGTGTAGAGCAGTAAGCCTAGCGCTTGTATTGCTAATTTAATTCCACACGAATTGGCGAAACTTATATTTCTGTTGTGATCTACGTTTATAAGTTAATCAACTTGGATTAGAGTTTTTATCAATAGAGTTATTCCAACAGAAAAGAAACACTCTTTTTTCAATGTACTAATTTGCACCAAACTCATGTGACTCGAATTAGTTAAAATAAAAAATTGTTCAACATACAATTCCTCGCAACAGTAATACAAATATTTTAACTAGCATTCATAATTACTATAGGTATTATAGTATAAACGTGGCGGTGCCTAACATAACGTGATCTAAGTTTACCATTATTTTCAGACTCCTATCAAAGGGGTGTCTCTGTTCTAGATGCCAATAAAATGCTATCTAGATTAGAGTGAGAAAGATAATGGGGTGCAGGAGGTACAAAAAAATCTTAAAATATTTCTAAAGATTATCAAATTTTGTAATCCTTCACATACCTGACGGAAAATCGTGACATCGTATGCATAGTGGGTCTGTCAGACCCGTAACTAAATGTAGCTTTTTTCTATGTTTAATTAATTATTGTTATTCTTAAATGATACTGATTTCTTATAATAATAATATTTTACAGAAATAAATAAATACAAAGTAATTTACGCATGCCTTTTATTAACTTTCAAACAAAGCGATTTAGACTTTGCAAAGTTATTGCTTTTTATAGATACTGCTGGGTCTGACAGACCCTACCAGTTATGCGAAGGGCTAAGTAAGAATAAGGGAGCTTGCATCTATGAGTGGTGATAATAGCTATCGATAATTCACTCAAAGTCCTCCTCTTTAATACTTACAATAGTTCAACGTATTAATATTCTCGTTAGAGATCTACAGTCGGTTCACAGTAATAAGTAGGTATTATGTGGAAATCTTCTCTTATTGTCTTATCACATTGTTTTAGACTAGTGAGAAGGTATCATTTATTGAACTTTTAATGAACTTTCGAGTTGAACGTTGAATCGTAATAATTAGAATAGACTGCATATAGTCGACTCATTTCTCCGAGTAATAAGTAGCTGCAGAATTTACTATACAAGCCATACTAAGTGAATGGAATAAGCGATTGTTATAGGATTTCGCATAAGCAAGCGATTTTTTTTTCTTGCATCTTTCACTCTCGATATATACGCGTAAAAGAGATTAAAGAAGCAACATAAGAATAAGAAGTGAGCTAACTGTTTTTACGAACAAGTTTCGGCAGATTAACACGTGCCCAATACTGATATGTTATTTTTAAGATTGATAAGGAAAGCTGGATATGAAATTTCTATAGCTACGCCCACGGCCATCTTAGTTAGGTGCATGTATGGATTCAAGTATTCAAGACCATGTTAAGTCCGTCAA